GCATCACCGCGGCGTGTGTGCACGCGTACACGCGCGCGCTGCGTGCCGATACGCTCTAATATCACGGTACCCCCGGTTCTGGGGAGAGGCTCCAAATTACAGCGACGCCCCGCACCTTTTTATGCTATCCTAGAATCCCCAAAATTTGATTAAGTTTGGCTCTTTTGATAGATCGTTTTAAATTGAAATGATTTCCGACTTTTGTACAATTTACAGTTAGTGTTACAGTTTGAATATAACACATACGTTTTATTCTAGTTTAACATAACATCCAAAATCTTTTTCAGCTCTCCTGTCATTTTTCAAAACAGAAACAACTTGTTAAAATTAATCGCAGGTAATTCAGTCTGAAGTAAAAATCTGTTATCGGAATAAAAGGTATAGAAAATTCAAGCAGTCGTTAAGTCGAGGAGATTTTTATTACGCCCGTTTATCCTGTTGAAACGGTGAAATCGTCGGCGCACGCTTCGTGCACGCGCGCGGCTTATCCGTGTATGGGAATGGGCTGCGTGACAATATTCGTCGGCCGGCCGGGAAAAGGAGGCGGCGGTTTACGAGCGTACGCGCGCGGCGTGAAAGTATGTGGGAAGTCCATCGCGATTCGAAGGAGCGTCCGGCCTATGCGTAGCCTCGTAATCACGCGTGCACGTCAGCTCGTAAGAGCGACAAAACCGAAGGAACGACTCTGTCACGCGCCAACAAGAGAAGGAGAGAGAGAGAGATAGAAAGAAAAAGAGAGAGAGAGAGAGTAAGTGAGAGGCGGAAAGGCGCAGCAACAAGGAAGAAGTCACGACCAAGATTATTGTAATGCTGAAACAATAGTCCAATCCGCATGTATGTACGAGTGCACCGCATCGCGACGAAGGCGAGCACGCCGCCGCGTCGCACGAGCGCGGCGTGCGCGCAAAATCTACGTCTCGTATTATCGCTTGGCGCGACGATCGTCGCAAATACTCAGGATGATCCGGTAATTCCTAGGCTCGTTAAACAAATTGGGCAAAATTAACGTCACGTGCGTCGTACCGTATAAAAATCAAGATCGCGTAATAATTGATCAAAACAAGACATTTTCGCGCGTTTCTTTCGTCGCTAATTTAGTTGCTTGTTATAAAATGCGAAATTAACGATTTCAATTTTTTTATTGCTACAGACACAGACGTTTCAGCGATTTCGAGCGTGACTGCATTGTCGAGGAACAAATCCTCGGCCGCGATCAAAATTTCAAGCGGATGGACGGACGGGGGAGAGATAATCGGGAGTCCGCCGTATCTCGAATACGAATTTTGACACGAGGCACGGGAGGAGAACGCGCGCGGAAGCGTGGGAACGGGCGCTCTTAAGCCTTCTCAAAACAAAGCACGAGTTAGCTACGTGACGGAGGTGGGGGGCACGCGACGCACCTGACTACCGCGATGCCCCCGCGCCGCTCCACGTGCTCGCATCCGCCCGCACCGTGGCCGTTCTCCTCCCCCCCCTGTACCCCCCTTGCTTGTACTCCGGTGGCCGCTCCGCCGGTTTATTAAGTCGTTACCCAGGGTCGAGTACGTTCCTCAAGCGCGCAAGCGAGTTTCGCGCGTGCAGCAGCGTCGGCGGAGAACGAATGGTCGTTAATCCGCAATTGATACGCGCGCGTTAAATAACAATACAAAAATTATGATTGATAATCTCTCCTTCGCCTATTAAATCAGACATCTCTCCGGTATAAAAAGAAATATAATTTAAACAAAATATAATTTAAAAAATTTTCATAAAAATGTCTAACAATAAATCGGAAGAAGCAGGACTCAGCTTGTGTAGGTATTTTAACCCTTAAATGTGCAATTTTTCATAGCATTCTGAATATTTTCCCCCTTCTAAGCCTTTCCATTCAAAAGGGAAAGAAGGGCTAGAAGGGCCAGAGAAGGCCCTTTACAGATATGCAAACCCGCGCGTTTTCAGTTCGAACTTTATAAGGGAGAATATACGGAGCATCAAAAAGTCGCTTTGCAAAGCTGCATACTTAAGTGTTAAAGGAATTACACTTAAGGAATGCAGATAGAGAAGCGTAAAGTTACACGAGATTACACGCGATTCCGTGAATAATCGCGTAATACTGGAATCATATGACACGTGCCGTCAGTTAAATATACGGTAATGTTGTAGAGCGATATTAGAATGGCTCGTGGATCGAGAATGGCCTTGGACGATTATACGAGACTACCTCGATATTCGAGCCAACGGTCATGATAAATGACACGCTAATTATGCCCACGTGCGGAGGACATATTGTAATCGCGCCTCGCAATCACGCGCGGAATTCACGAAGCAGACAAAGACCGTACATGTAATTGGCATGAAGAGAATTAAAATCACTGCTCATTGATAGCTGTAAGTTACCTCGCGTCGTTGCTTTACGTTCGGAATAATGTTCGCGAATACTCGTATGCTACTTTTATTCTTTATTATATTCGTGAAAAAGAGATTAAAATATAATAAAAGACGTGATACATTATTATTTTTTGTTGGAATAGATCGAAATAGAGAGTGGTGGATTTTAACTCATATAATTTTGTTGCTGGGGATGAGAACGACCTAAGTTCTGGACCCGGCGAAATAGCTTTTGATTAACTGGTTTCCACGAAATAACTTTTCATTGGGAATCCAACCGCCGTATCAATTTGATCAAGTGACAAAGCGCAATCCGTGTACTTGTGTGTGTGATTTAATGATTCAATTAAGACGACTTTATATAATTTCGGTTTGATTGTGCGAAATGGGCCAAAGTGCTTCACGCACGATTCCTGGAACCGATGTAAAATTATTATTCCGGATACGGTTCGCGCTTTTTCTGGGTCAAATGAGGCCCCGGACGAAAAGTCGGACGGAAGGTGAGACAAAGAGGCTCTAGCCTCGTTAATGGACGGCGGCGCGTAAAAACGCGTAACTACCTGTCCCGTATTCCAACGACGGGGATCTCCTTGAGATCTGTCCTCACGTAGAAGAAACGGGGTCCTTAGCCTTACGTGCTATCTGCGTTGTGTTGGTTACATAACGCACATGCGGTCGCTCGCATGAATGAATACATTCATAAAGACGGGTCCGGCCGGCTTGGCGAGCGCACGTCACACACATACGCGAGGCTACAATCTCAATAAGAAAATACGTCTATTATGTCGTTACAATAACGATATCAATTCGTTGACCGTCGTGGCACCGAGCGGAGCCCATTGTCTTCAAACGACGATAGGGTGTCCCCTGACCGGTGCATGTAAATCGCTCTCGAATAATTTCGCCTCCGAAATCGAGAGCTCGGAAGTCTGTTATTAATGTCGCTCGAAATATAATTATCACATTTATCATCAATTATTACTAGAGACAGAGCGTTTCTCCTTTTAATAATTTTTTTTTTCGAAGAAAAACAGATTAGAGACAAATACCTAATTTTTGCGAAAGTAATACGCTGTTACTTTCTTCTTTCTTCGAATATTTACAAAATAATTTATATTTGGTGTAGGCAAATCGTTTGCAATTTCGATCTTATACTATCTGTAAGGAGATACTTCCGTCGCGTCCATGTATAAAATGTCAAGGGCTAACACTTCGGGGCATTAATCGTCGCGACGCAAGACACCGGTAATTATCCTTTAACGAGACGGAAGATTTGAACGAATCAAACGCTCTGCCTTGTCTTCGTTTCTGAAGACAATTGGTTTGGTCACTCTATCACAGATCGTACTTCCTCCGGACAAAACTGATATATGATATTTTAAGTGACGGAGTACCCGGCCAGTAATTGAATTTAAAGGGCGGAAGCGAAGAAATCTGGTCCCCTTTCATATTAACCTAATCAAGCGCAGTTGTCGGTACCGCCGACTGTCGCGGTCACAATAGAGACATTAAATTGTCAGTACGGATTTATTAAACCCGGCGCGGTTCACAGCCGTGAAACCGCGTGCATCTTGGACGATTCGCCTCACTATATTTATGTGGCTATTTGCAGCCAACTAACGATTCTGCATACGGTTGCAAGTTTCGAATATATATATACTTTGAAAAATGTTGCAAATACATCGATAAGACGTTCTATTTTTTTTACATTTCCGTTAAAAGCTCCGTTTTTGGACGCATAATAATAATATTCTATGAATTCACAGACCGCACGATAAATCAAGGAAAAACCCGGAGGATCATTTTCTATATTACCAAAACAGGTGCCAAGCAATTTTGTTTTTGTTGCTAAAAATCACGCACGGTAACGTAAATAAAAGGGCTCTTACGCATCGGCAGCTTTGACTTTTTATTATCGTTGCCGCTGTCGAGGCCAGCCCTCGTAAGAGTCGCCATTAGATGTTCGACATCCAGGCGAACATCTTGTCGTTCTCGGTACGATGACTTGTCAACAATTCACCATGGCCGGTACGCCCGTGCAAGCGTCCTCCTTCTTTAAGGCCGTCATGCTGGCTTGTCCCTTATCATTGAATTTAAGACAAGTTTTTATCAATAATGAGCTTCTCGTGTACTGTCTTGACGCACGATTTCGTCGAAGAAATTAAAGTGACCGAAGAAATGAATTCGGGGCAACGAGTTTTATTGAATTAAATAACGAATTTTGCGGGTCCTAATTTTCATGAGTATCTCTAACATTCTTCCACGATATCATGTTAAAAATAAATAAATAACATAATTTTTTGTCTTACCTTTACGTGCTTGATGTTTGGAATCCGCTTGTGCGTGTGTAAAACCTGCTTGTGAAATTATCAAGTTTTAAGTAAAAAATGTTTGCAACAAGTTGTAATTCGAAACAAATTTTAAATTTAATATTAAATGTAAATTTTGTAACAATAATCTCTCATTCTTTAGTAATGAAATAGAAATAAGTTTGTATTTTTGAAACAACTGTAATTACTTTTGCAATTTCTTATAACCCAGATTATTGTTCAAGGATCTTTTTTTTTTTTGAACGAAGAAAAGGGCGAAGGATTATTGTCTCGCAAGGGATGGCCTTAATAATCCCTCGCCTAATTAATGAAAAATCCTTTATTAAAGACAAATTTCGTTACAGTAAAAGTAAATTCGCACAACCGTGGGAAAAGGCACATAATGAATTTGGTTCCTTGGCGAACCATCGGACAGTGGAAATGGTACGTTTTACCCGTATACAACAAAGCGCGCGTAGCATGCGAAACAAAAAGGATTCCACACGATTTAAGGCGTCGATAACGGGAACGACGTCGCAGCTTCGCGTCTCTTTGATATCGGTACCATCGTTGTAAAATGGCGTATGAAAAGAAGGATTACTATCTAAAAAATCGCTTGTTCCAGATGATACTTGGTCTTGCACAATTTTTGCAGTCGAGAGATCCCCTCCTCCCGATTATCACCGTACTTGGTCTCCCACGCGTCGAATAACATATTGTAGTATCTCGGAACGTCGAAATACTGCAAGTACTCGTGGCTAGTGGTAGTAGGGAAGATCTTTTCGAAATTCCCTAATTGCGTCAACTCGTCCTCGTAGGTAATCAAGTGTCTTACGTCGTCGGGCGTCAGATCGTCAATTATTTCGTCGAGATAATCCTCACGATTTCTCAAGTTCGCGTATAAAGACTGCTTATGCCGTTCCTGGTAGCTAAGGGTGGTTCGGTGCAGTCTGTAATCTTGGCACACCGGATCTAACTGATATCTTTGGGCTAGTTTCTCCGTTTCCTCCGCCGGTACGCACGTGGGCAGTTGGTATCCGGCTATATTAAAGAGGTTTCTAATGAGGGGCCCCTTGACCGCGATGTCGAGAGGCGAGGAAGACTGTAGAGAGGGCGATATGTTCACTTCGAGTAACCACGGTCTCCGATTCTCGTCCAGAATAATATCGATGCCAAAAAGCTCATAGCAACAATACCTTGGAATTTAACAAAATGCGTCACATCAGAAAGACATTGAATGAAACGTAAGACATTGTAAGTAAAATCGTATTAATTGCATTTTAACACACGAAAACGAGCATTCTATATTGACTCTAAAACTTTGCAAAATTATTCAAGAAAATGTTTAAAAATATTTCAATTTTCGCAGCGTTAACCATTTTAAAAATATGAGCATAAAAATGAAAAGAATAATAATTTAGTTTATTAAAAAGTAAATTATAAATAACGTAGAAATATCTTCTTACCTCGAAGTTGTATTAGCTCGCGTCAGAGTGTTGATAGAAGATTCGCCGGCTATCATCGTCTTGATGACTATATCCTTTATCGACTCCCATATCTTGGCGACGTTCACGTTTTCCTGCTCAAGGTAGGACCACAGGGTCCTCAAAGTCCACTTGTGACCGGTACTCGAATCCGCGCAGTCATTGCTGGTGTAAGTCGCGCTGGTCTTATTAATGCTGTAGTTGGTGAGATGCATGAAACGATCGCTGAGGTAGTTGATGTCGTCGTTATACTTGACGGAGGCGAAGCGCACGAGGCCGTCCGGATATATGTAAACCTTGAGAGGATTGAAGCTGGTGACGAACACGTAGAGCCGCAGATCGAACTTGGCGCCACGTATCAGCATCGGCCGCGACAGATACTGCTGCACGACGACGGCGCGTTTCTTTGGTATCTGGGACCAGCGGTGGACCACGCGGATCCCGGTGCCGCGCGCGGACGCCGGCGGCTTGATGATCCATTTCTCCTTGCCGCCGTTCTTCTCCCACACCTGGCGGAACATACGCATGTCCTGAGGTAGCACGTAGGTGCGCGGCACGAAGCCGAATTCCCGCTTGCCGTACTTCACCATCATCCGGCTAAGATTCCGCCACAGCCGGTCCTTCCGGCCGATCTGAAAAGTGCCGGGAAAGTGGTTGACCTTCTGCGACTCCTTCAGACCCTTGTAGGCGACGGACTTCATGTGCTTGCCCCAGGTGCCGCACCAATACCGGCACTTCTTCATCAACCGGTAACCGGAATTCGCGACGATGCGACGCACCAATATCGGTGTTATCGTAGTGAGATGCCACTTAAGATGTCTCGTCACTTCGTACGGCAGCACCGAGCTGACCTTGCTGTCAAACGACTGGAAGGCGATGTATGGCGGCACATTGTCGAACAGACTCCTGCGGAAGGGCAGCTTGTTCAGCTTGTCACCGTCGATCGACAGCAGATCCCCGTCGATATCGAGATCAGGCACGCTCTCCTCGTCGTATTGAGTCTCCGCGCCATCGTTGCTGCTGGAGATGCTACTAGTTTCGTGCTGATTATATACGATCACGTCCATCTCGAATAACCTGCAACACACGCGGGGGAGACGAAGAGTTCGTCGTGACGTAATATAACTTTGACATTTCGAGCAACTGCTCGTTCGAGAACTCCACGTTCCTTACATTTGTGGTCGGTGTATCTCTTTAACTCTTTAACAATCTCGTTTCAGATAACGGCAGCAGCAAATCGACGCAATTTCGTAATCGTAGAATCATGTCGATTCGCTGTCGCTGACACGCTGACGTCTTTAAACAATTAAGGTACCGATGAATACCGTTAATACGGTACAGAATACCGCTACCGAACATCTTCAAGAAGAGAACTTGCTAGAGATAAACATGTCATGGCCTGTTAAGAACTACGACTTTGTTGCGATTGACTAAGCTCGATATATATACATCGATATAATTACAAAGATACTACAATCATAACATCTTTATTATTATCGTTATAAAGTGATGCTTCTTATGGAAATTTTTCCCCAAGCGATTACAAAGTATGACCAGTTTCTTCGGAGGCATAATTAAGCAGCATCGCAGTGGCTGCTACTCGTATATGTTATAAATATATTGTCGGATATATATAGCCACAAGTTGTAAACAAGCAGCTGCAGGTGTAAGATCGTCTTGCTTGTTTATAGTGAGGAGCAAGTTTGCAGAATAACATGTAAAATTCGATTAAAATTCAATTTTGCCGACAACCATATCAGTTCGAACGAAATTTTTCCCAGAAACATTTTATCTCCGTAACTTATCGCTGCATCTGTCGCAAATTTCGACATAAATAACTTGTACAATGTACAACGTTCAACGTAAACAGGTCCACAGTGTAGAACGTTTAACGTATATCAACTGTACAATGGAAAAATCTTCCGTTACCTACATTTTTATGCGATTTAAAAAACTGGAAAATAGGTTGCACTAATCATTATGGAAAACAACGTATCGTACGTCTAACAATTCTCACAAACAAAATATATTTTGGCTATTCTTGTATCTTCATTGTGTTCATTTTCATTTAATAAAAATATGGATTTTTGAAAATTTGATGTAAATTTTTCTTGAAAAAAAAAAAAGAGATCATTTTCAATTTACATTCCTTAAGTGATGGTCTTTCGGACGCATTTAATAAGTCGCATTTATCGACGACACTTGTAAAACAACATCAAAATATGATCAGAATCGTAAGCGATTGACGGTCGCAAAATCGAATACTGCAATCGAATAAAGCAATAAAATGTTATTATCGCAATATCGCATCGCTAAGTAATTTCTGCATGACAACAGCGTGCGCGAATGAGACTGATCCGCCTGGATCGAATAACGAAGCTCCGCGATAGCATCAACGCGCATCAAAGTAAGCATCTTAATGCACGTGTCAGACAATTGAGCACGCACAACCGCGAGAAAGATCTGTAAGAAGAAAAGGTACGTACCAATCCGTATTGTTCAAATGCCAGCAGCTGCCAGCATTATGACGACACGACCACAAACACCTGAAACATAACAATTGATTCGCGAATTATTATAATTGCCGAGAGATTGTAATGGTGGACATTATTCTTAGGATATCCTTCGTACTCTCGCGGTAACGACAATTAACGTTTCCTTGTGGTATAGGAATTCGCGGGGAAAAACATTTTGAGAAACGCGCGCAAAAACACGGAGGCAATAATGCCGATCTTAAAAAGCACGGTCCGCCGGTGTGTAATTGCGAAATCGTGAGGCTAAGTACCGCAAAAAATAACAGGGGCGTTTACACGATAACAATAATTTACGTTTCGATAAACTATTACGGATAACTTATAAGTCAATTCGAAGATCGTTTGTCCTCGAATTTTCAATGACCAGCGAACATTGACTTGCATTTCTCAATATCGTACAGAATACCACGTTTATTTCTATTTTCTAAGTATATTTTAGTATCATCCGCTAGTATCCTCTTTTACTTTTATGCTTAGATAATTATTATCAAATTGAGAAGCAACAGAAGATATCCAAAGATATTTCTCTGGCTTTTTTGATTACTCAATTCTTTTATCATGCTATTTTAGCTGATGCTATTGTAAACAATGTTTTGCTACATCTTGTTACATTTAAACACTCGTGAATCAACAACCGGTTTGTATATTCCAAAAATTGCAAATGCAATCATTCGCATGCGAGTAGCGCGCCTGTCAATCGTATATACATTGCGCTTGAATGATGAACTAGTACACGTCCGCTCGCATGCGAAACGATTGATACACCTTACCGTGCGATCGTATTTTCAAAGGAATTATATTGTCGAAGCAAAACAAAAAAATCAAAGAATTGTCGCTGTAATTTATGCCTATCTAGAAACATTGCTCGTCTTACTAAGGTCTTTTCTGAAATTTGTTACAATTTTCTAGTTGCTCCCACAACAACCCTAGAACTAGTTTTATCATTGAGGAAAAAAGTGTTGTCTTGCCAATATGTAATTTCCCAAATTCTTCTGACGCGACATACTTGTCTGTGAGATACGATAAAGAGATATACGGAAACACGAAGGTGACGAAATATTCTTTCTACATCAGTGAGCATCAACTTTATCTCACACGATTAATGAACATAAAGCTGAAGTTACGACACAATTCCCTTTAATGATAAGTTCGCAGGAATGTACAGAGAGAAAAATATGCGCGGAAACCGTGAAATGGATAAGCGCGATGATTGATACCAGGATGCAGATTGCAGATGTGCGAGCATGCGGTGTTTGAATATAAAAAAGCGAGAGTTGTCGATTAATTCGCCGCCTCGCCACGCATATGTTAAGTAAATATGCCGACCACCGTGTGGCAATTAAATACTCGTTATTGATCGTGCAAGTCGCCGGAACACGGTAGTGCATTAATCGGAAAGTAAGACAGGGGACTCGCGGAGAAGAAAGAGTTAATTTTCTTTCGTGTCCCACTTACGTAAAATCAAATTAACGCGACGCTTCAAAAGTACAACCAGAACGGAAGGCGTCGAAAAAGTGTGAAAGCGTCGCGCCCATCGATCGGCGCAATTGATCGATTGACTTTTGGACCAATCTTTCCGTCCGCTGCAAATTCCACCTTTCCTTAAATCATAGGATTACGCAGCTCTCCAATCTATGGGAAAAGAAAACCGCTCGATGAATTCTAGATTACAGCGCGCCAAAATCAATATCGGAAAGAAATCGATATTCCTGATGAACAAAATTCAGTTCACGCGGCTTTGGAGCGAACCGGAAAAAAAAAGCAAGAGCAAGATTACATCCTCCCGTTGAACGTGTGTACGAAACAGATATTGTGTTCCTGACGTCCGTGGAGAATGAGGGAAATTGATTAAATTGTGTTTTAAGGCTGGGATACAAGAAAGTACAGCTCGCGTATATTAAGTCGCGTAAGATGCATTAATATTCATGTGTCAGTTTCGCCACCTCCGGGTACGGTACCCGGACGGCGACTGTGCAGGTGACAGGCGCTTTTCGATTTCTTGCAATGTCGCACGGCGCGATTATCAAAGCCGCCGGTCAAACATTGTAGCGCTTTTGCATGCGCCGAAGGTGACTTGCTGTAGCGTTTTCATCGCGGTGCTGTGCAATTTGACAGTGCGATTTAATCTTGTTGCACATCCTCCGTAACTTCCGTGATTTTTTTCAGCGATACGAGTGGCAAGACACCGTGTCTTTATAATTGGATATGAATGTATGTGTGTATAAGACAAAAATATAATGGTGAGGAAAGTGACACATTTCCCGCCTTTTTTTTGTCAATGACAAACTGCGTCTTCTGTTACCTATACTAATTTTGGTAATTTTATAATAAAGCTTTGCGCCTGCGAGAAATGTATTTATGTAGTGCCAAAATTCCACAGCTATATATACCTATCGCGTACATCTATGAATCATATCTACAAATATGTACCTTATTTATTTTATATAAAATAAATAAGATATCCTAGGACAAATTACAACTCTTTTTATTTATAGGTCAGACAATTAACTTTTTAATCACGAAATTATGATTTGCGATATACTGCGACATACTTAAATCGACAATCATTACTTTCAAAATTTATTAATGAAATGTAAGCTTTATCAAATCCATTCGAATCAAGCGCGAAATATATTACTAATTATATTTAACTGTGCATATTATTCTTGTAAATGTTGCTAAATGCTTTTCAGATAAATTAATAAATAATAAATCGATAAAAACAACAAATCGATAGAATAAATATCAATCTTAATTATCTTTTTTTTTGTGTAACTTTAAAATATATTTATTAACTCTCGTTATATCAATGGCAACCCCCATGTAGATATATTGTAGTAATTCATTATTAAATTATTAAAAAAAATTTAATAGATTTTTTCTCGCGTTCGTTCGTTTTTAATTTATTTATAATTGCACAAATATATTAATTTTCGTGATACGATAGTTATGAACTTATAAGTTCTATAATTTGATTTAAATTCTATAGTATAATATAGAGGAAAGTACTCTTTGAATGAAATAGTATAGTATGAAATAGTGTTTGAATGAAATAGTATTTTGCTGCGTCATATAGCGCTTTTCATATATTCTTCCGTCGTCACAAGAAGATTAATAAAGGAGAGGAGGCTGCGGAATATATTGTGGGTGGTGATTCGATATCGTTTATCATTGAAACAAGACGTTTATTGATGATGATGATGAAGATGATACTGTCCGACGATCTCAACAAAGACGCCGGACGGCATTACGTCGAAAATGGTTCTTAAACATAACAAGTTAACATCTATATAATAGTCGCTATGCTTTACGAGAAAATAGTCATCTCAGGTACAAAATGGAACCCTATCACAGACGTCACTTAAAGCTTTAATCACCTATGTACAATGCGACCGAGTATAAACCGCGTACAAAAAAAAAGTAAAGTTCTCAAAGAATCCTCAACGAGGCCTCGCAAAAGTTTTATTTGGAAGACAGCGCGATTCGTCGTTTTCCTCCTCGTGGCGCCATTCAGCGGGAGGGCTCTTCGTTATTGGATTGTCCATTGCTCCAAACGTCCGCCCCGGAGATCTCAGGATAGTGTCGTTGCTGCGCGACTGCTTCATCACCAGGGTCTCCAGACCGCGTTGGAAGACTCCGAGGACTCCCCGGAGGAGCTCGCGACACTGACAGGGCTCTGCGGCGGCGTGTACACGTTCTGGGGCACGTTCGTCTGGCTCGCCGGCGCCTGAGTCGTCTTCGTCGCAGCCGCGGTTGCCGTCGGCGGCGCGTGCTTGGCGCCAGCCGGACTCTCGAGTCGTCGAAGGCAGCCGCCGAGGTGTCGCATGAGCTGAGCACCCGCGGCGGGATGTACCGCCGCGGCAACCGGCGTCGACAGGAAGGTCGACACCTCCTGGGCGCACTGGGTGAAACCGTCGCGGAACCGGTCGGCGTAGCTGTTCTCCGGCGTGAGCGTGAGCCTCCTGGCGGCGCGTAGCGTGTGAAGGTGACGTACCGTCAGCTCGAGGATATCCGCCTTCTCCAGCTTCGCCACGTTTTCGCCCTCGGCCTGCAGCGCGGTCACCATCAGGTCCTTCAGCTCGTCCAAGCAACGATTGATGCGGGCACGTCGCTTGCGCTCCAGCATCGGCTTCATCACCTTGCGGTACTGATAGGTGCGCGACACCGGCTCCTCGTACTCCATGCCGCTGACCGGCGTGTAGCTCGTGTGCGGTGACATGACGATCACACTTTATTTAATGTCACTGGTCACAAAACAAGAGGTAACTGAGTCCAGTGAGAGTGGATCCTCCGTGTGGATGGTCCTCCCGTTGATCCGGGCCGAATCACCGATTGACGATCCGATCAAGCCTCCTCCAGAGAAATCCACGATGCTCTTCGTATATAAATGTCTCGCAATCGATTGAATCGAATGCACGATCGAAACACGTTCGACGTTTATATTATACTCTCTACTGCTTCGCTGTTCTCGGAGTGCCAAGAGAGCGTCTGAATCCGTACGTATTCGTGACGGTTCTGAAGCGTTGGTGGGGTACAACCCGTTATTTATATGCCGCGTGGTGCCCCACCCGTGCCGCCGTCGTCCTGCGCCCCACAGCTGGGTGGCGGAGGGGTCCGAGGGGCACGGTGTGCCGAACCCTGCAGCCCGCGTGCACGGCCAGCCAGCAGCAGCCGTGGCGTATCGTGGGAAGCTCGCGGGCCGGAGCGTTCCCACAGATCGGGGGGCCTGTTGGGGCCTGCACAGGTTCTGTGCCGTTTGACGCCTGCCGGGCCGAGGAGGGGGGCCCTCCTTGGCGAGCGAAGAGCGCGAGCGTACGTGCGCTCGCGCGCGCGCGCGCGCGGGAGGGGACACCTCGCTCACCGAGAACACACCTGCACACGCGGTTCCCTGGTACGACGCGACGCGACGCGCCGAACCGCGCCGAGAAACACGGGCGAGAGGCGAGAAGAGGAGAGCACACGCCACGACGCGCGACCAGCACGAGGACGACTCGCGCGATCCGTCGCGCGGTAGAGCGGCGCGAGCCTCGATCCTCGCGCCGGAGGTAAAGATTATCGCGATTGAATCTACGAAGGACGCCGCTTCGCGAGGGCACGGGCTAGGATTCAAGCGTAGCGGGAGAAAAGCAACTTTCTCGCGATTTCAGAGTCATTTCGGATATCATTCTGCTAATCGTTTGTGCAATTTTCAATGACTAATATGCATTCCGTTGATAAAGATGTTGTATATCTTCGTCGAACATTATATATAGATAAAGTAGATTTTACATATAATGCAAATATTTAATCCTTTATTTAGGGCATAGGTATTGTTGAGAGATGCACACTTTACGCATTTCGCGCATCGCTCAATTATCATAGATTGAAATATAAAAATTTATAGAGAAATGTCTGTGGGAAGAATGTTTATTCGATCGTGCCTGCGGGCCATGATAACGATATTTTCAATCGACATGTTTATAGGAATCTAAACATCGCTGTCGGTTCGCGCGTTCGCGCTCGAGGCGCACGACACTTGTTGATTTACCGGATTACCACCGACGTAGTGCACGTGCACGTGCGCGTGTCGGCAACAGTCCCGACACTTCCCCGGAGTGAATGTGAATCACGTCTTGGCGGGTAACGCCGGTGTCGCGAGCTGGACCACTTCGCGCATTCCTCTCCGTGCGGAACAATGGAAATAAATAATCACGGACGGTATACGCGGCCCGCCCACGCTTGTTTCAGCGCGATTATGCGAGATCATCTGATTCATTGCTTCTGCTGCATTACGTTATACTAGAGTCCCTCTTATCAGAGTCTGACTAACTTGCAGTTCTGGCAAAATTCTGCGACAGACAAGGATGTACACTATCGCTTTCTCTTTCTTCCTATCTCTTTCTTTGTCTCTTTTTTATCTCTTTCTCTTTCTATTTCTCTTGCTTTTGCCAAGAAATGGTGAACCAATCAAAAATTGCTACCGTAGACTCTGATTAGAGGGACTCTACATTATACGAATCGCTGATGAGAACGAACCGCTTGAAAACTTAATTAGGCAAAAAAGAAATTTGTAAAACCAGGTTTAATGAACGAATTTTAATGATCTCCTACATGGATGATCTCCTACATGAATATTTAGAAAGATAACGGACTGTGTCACTGGACGGATTTTGGCCGTAAATAATCTTCCGCGTGGGAAAAAAATCTCTCCTCTATCCGTATTCACATACACACTCGCATAGTTTTAGGTCGCCTTTCTATTTTACGACGAAGGAATACGCGGACGTATCCTCTGATGTATCAAGTTCTCTGAATATTCGACTATAATTAACCTATGATCTCTTCCTGTTCTTAGATTCGCGCAACTTGAGAGAATTTTGCATATTCCGTTTCGTGATCGGTCCGACGTTAGGGAGAATCTCTCAAGGGTTTCTGACAACCGGTTCCGGTGCAATCGGAGCGGGTACCGGGAGCCGATGTTTTGAATTATAAACGTACGTTCTTAATGATCCGCCCATTCTCGGACTCGGACGGGCTTCGCTTGCGGGACTTAACGAGGTGTTTAGCCCTTTTGGAAGCCGATACCCCAAACAAGGCCCCGCTGAGTGGGCCGGCCGAGTATTTACGAGCCTTTGGGTCTAAACGCAAAAGCAGCTAGTCGCTTCGGAGGCGATCCGGATATTACTACGATGTGTCGCCTTCGTAAAAAAAAGAGAAGAAAAAAGAAAAATTTGCTTCTTCAGGCATGCAGTCGCCGCTTAATTGCCGATCTGTCCGAGATTGCGACGGAAATTGATACCGGTGGAATTTCGCAGAGCAGGAATTTTTAGAAGAACACTCGAGAAGAAACCCTTTCAGAAGAAGCTCACCATAATATAATGTCTTTGTAAGTAAGAATATCTCTGGGAAATAAGTCTGTCTTCGATTTTAAGAGGCTGCGTTACTCACTACAAACTCTTCACGAAAAAGAGGAGAGTATTAACTTAAAAATAATAATTTTGAATAATTTATCGTAACAACAAAGTCCTCTATCTCTTTCTCTCCTTTTTAAACGAGATATTATTAATATTATTTTCTCAGCCCGTATTTTACAGCGAGAAATAATATAGAAGTATGTAAAAGTGTTATAATTCTGTTATGTTTTGAATAAAATTTTTCTTACATTGTTTTCAGCTGATCAGGTTCACTTTTATACACACAATTACACTAATCAGAACACTTCTCTCGTTGACATTTAACTGTGACACACGCGGCTTCAACGAAATGATCTCAGAACGCTCGCAATATACAACTGCTTATTCTGGCAAAATGCCAAGTTTCTAGATATGCTTGAACGATTTCATCAGTCCATGTGTGCGTCACGTATTTATTATTAATCTTCATATTCTGTTTGTCTAACCATGATCCACATTACGTGTCTTTCCTCTCTTGATCCAAGAGTTTCTCTCTCTCCCCCTCTCTGTTTCTGTCTCTGTCTCTTTCTTTTGCTATATCGTATTTATCATTATCAATTCCTCTCTTTAACTCGAATCGTAGTTTCTACGCGGTAAGTACATTCTCGATGCGCATCGAACGGACGAAAATAAGGCAGGAGCGACCGCGCGCCGGTAGAAGACCGGTAGGATAATTACATTGATTGGTTATACAAGCCGGATGTGGCGGTACGCGCGTACGCCAGTTAAAGCCCCGACGAAACGAGCGTTATCCGCGCCGATGCGGCGCTACCACCGGGACACCGGGTACGTATTATTGCCCCACGTTAACAACTCGTTACGCCCGCTCACCATCGGCGGCGAATGAAATGAACGTTGATATTGCCGCGGCGGGGTACGCGTCCTTACGTGATCCCCGACGATGAAGTTCATAATTTGTTTCTGGGTACGATGATGGATTTTTTTGCGCACTCGCCGGCCGGCCGGTTCGCAGCAAATCGCGCGCTTCCTTGTTCACTGACAGATCGAGGAAGTCTTAACCTCGAGAGAGAGAGAGAGAGAGAGAGAGAGAGAAATGCGTCGAGATTCACTGTGATTCACGTTAACGTTAATGCGCGACCGTTAAATCGATATTTTGGTAGTGCAACAGATTCGTCAAGCATATTAATTAGCTGCGAGTTGATCAAATTATAGGGCTCCCGAAAATTCTCTGAACACTCAGGAAGTCCTGCATTGTACGGATCCGACAAGTTTGATAAGCGCGACGCTAATTAAGTACAGCATTAAAGCATGTATGAGCGATAAAGCATTATTATTACGACATAATAATAATAATATCGATAATGAGAATGCAAAATCTTAACTTGTAATTTTATTTCGTAATTTTACTTTACGCCAATGTACGTCAATGTACATACGTCACGATCACGTTATAGCGGTTTTTTAATCGCTAATTTTTGCAATGAATTTTTGTTTTAGCTATGTTGGAGCAAGTTACAATTTAACACCTGTTAAACTAACTATCTAATATAAAGAATCTTGATAATGTTAATGCAAGGCAAAAAAGACAACAATAAAGTAAAACATATTTATAAAGTCCCAGCTATAATGTCAGTTACGCGTATCGCGCGTTCTAAATAACCATCGCTAATACACTACAATCCTTGCACAATTAAGGAGAAACACCGATTATCCCTTATGTCTATTTCTATATATCAATGGAGATTAAGATTCTAATTCTTAGAACTAGAGGAAGATAAAAAGTAAATTAAATTGAGATTAAAGTTGATCTACATTGATAGAAATGGGCATTTGTATATGACAATAAATATATGACAAAGTGGCGTGCGAGAAATATACAAGAACAATAACCGGCTTTACCTCGTGAAAAAACGTAGAACGATATTCTAAGAAATAATCGAGCCTGCGGGCTCGTTCGGACATCGCGGCGTATAATTTATTATCAATCCGTATCAATGGAGTAACGTGAATTATCACAGTTGAGAGTTTATTCCCCTCCTGCCTTTTTGAACCGCATGAAGCAAAGCAGAGTATAAATAAACGATCGGTGTATCTCCCCAAGCTAAAGTAACAACTCTCGATCCCATCACTCCGAGTAACAGCAATATTTACCGGATCCGGAGTCTCTTCGAGGCGGGGGTTTCTCTCGACGCTCCTTGATCTCCTCGTGCTCCGCTTCGACGTGCCCGAGCCTCCTCGCGCTCCTCCACCGGCGACCCCGTCTGTCGGCGCGGAGGAAGATTACCGAGGTCGTCGATGCTAATTCGTTGGCACGTCGAAATACTTCCGCGGAACAAGCCTCTCCTACTTCGTCCCTTGCTCGTAAAGACGGCGGGCCTCTTCTCTCCCCGTTCACTTCTCTTCTCTCCCCCCATTTCCCCTATATCCTCAATCTTTCCCTTCTCATAGTCATCCACCGTTTCTTTCCATCCCCTTGCGCGCGGGATTCCGTCCGTCTTTTTCCCCCCTCGGCGCAGAATGAGTGGTAGCCTCGCCTCCGAAATTCTTCCGGTTGTATACTCTTGGCTCGTGCTACGGAACGTGGGAATGTTCTCAGGCCTGGAAGCCGACCCCACCACACGGTGGAAACACGCGTT